GAAAATAAAATCAACAGACAAGAGGAATTAAATCGCTGCGCAATAGTGCGGCCACTGATAAACAGCATACTTAGACTTTTGTGCCATAACTGTTTTTTTGTCTAATCTAATGTTTAAACGTGTGTGTGTGTGTGTGTGTGTGTGTGTGTGTGTGTGTGTGTGTGTGTGCGCGCGTGCGTGCATGGATGTGTGCGCCCGTGTGTGTGCGTGTGTTTACGACAGTCAAAGGAGGCATAACAGCAAGCTGCCAGAACAAGAGCAAGCCGTTCTATGGACAATCAGTCCACAAATTACTCGGAAGCCTCACACAATCCAACGAGCCGCACACATTCTTATCATTTAAAAGTCAAAGCAATTCTCCTGAACAGAAAGGAGCATTAAAACTACAACACAGTAAAAATCTCAAGCAAACACACAAGTACAATAAAGGCAGCACACATCAACATCAGTTAGCCAATGCAGTTCAAACTATTTAATTATCCCATTGCACAGAGTGGTAGCACTCGCTCACATGGAGACTGCACGCTATTAATCCACTTAAACACAATTTATGGGGACTAAACATCGACTGTCCATTGACATAAAATTACTTGAAGCATCCTTATAGCGTCTTCAGCAGACTAAATTAGCCAAACTGGACTTACTAATTGAGGAGGAGTAAAAGTACTGTGTGACTGGATTGACTGCTCGTTGAGCAGAGATAAATAAGCAGGCTATAAACCGGATGGGACTACCAATAACTATAATTATAAATTACCAACATTATTTAAGATGAGGTTACTGATGCGGGGTTACATTAATTTTAAACATAATTTCTCCTCATATGCTCTCGCTTTGTGCATTTCATGGTCCCCCATGGAACGTTTGGCTGTTTGCATTAGTGTGCATGTGCACCGTTTTTTTTTAGGTTTCTCATTTGACTCTTCCAGAATAATAATTTACAGTGGGTGAGCAGACATGAAAAATATGGAATATATATATATATATATATATATATGCTAGTGCTGTCAAGTGACTACAAAAATTGTGAGATTAATTAATTATGATCTGTAACTAATTGGTCGAATTAATCTATATTTTAATCACATCTAAAAAGTGCTGAGAAAACCCTTATTTTCATTTTTAAATCATTACATTATTGAGGCAGATCAAAAGACAAAAAAAAGTGGCATTATAAGTTCTTTCATTGTTTGTAAACAGACTTGAGCAGATGCAATCCGAGCCATGCACTTGCTGCTGTAGTTGAGACTAGTCCCAAGTACGAGCTGCAACCTTTAGTTTCGACCACCAGGGTGAATATTACCGTTTTGTTTGTTTTTGTAAATCGCCAAATAATGACAAAATAAAAATAAAAATAGAACATCAGGTCCACAAACAGTGCTTAGGTTAACATATCAAAACAGTAAGAACATTTTTCTGAGCAATACCAGGACTCAACACTGAACTTGCTTCGGATAATAAAAAATAAATAAGAAACCCTTAAATCACAGTGCTACAAGTTAGCACTTCAGAAATAACACTGTTCATCATGAGAAAATAAAGTGCTGAAATAAACATCAACCACTTCTACTAGGCTACTAAGGACACAGCAACTATGCTGACTTCATGCCTCGTACGCAGGGTGTTCTCGAGTTTAGTTTGGCGAAGAGCTTTGCTTTAGCTTGTTAGTTGCTCCATGTACAGCACTTTGTGTGCAGCGACTGCTGTTTGAAAGTGCTCTATAAATACAGTTGAGTTGAGTTCGCTCGCTCTATTGCTAACGCTTTCAGTGCTAACATTAGCTGTGGATGCACTCGTTACTGGGTGCTTTGCATTGATGTGCGAGGCTAAACTTGAGCCGCAAGCTCCTTCCAGATTAGGCACAACACTCTACCTTTATCAATAGTGGCGTCAGGGCGTTTTTTGGAATGTAAATTTTCCATTCACTGGGCCGAGTACTCTCACATGAACCTCCATGTTCACCTCTCCTCTCCTCACCGCTGCTTGGCCAACTACCAATGGGAGCGAATCATCTTATGCTAAACAAGCCCAAACTTAATGACAGCCAATCAATGTCCGCTTCAGGCTGTGACTGACAGTTGTTTCCCCACCCTCAACTACTCGAACACAGGAAGCCAACACATGAAAAGGGATATTATAAAAAGGTAACCCACCGACAGAAACAATAAAGTTAGAGATTAAATTTTAGATAACGCGATTAAAAAACATAACGCACTAAATATCACTGTAATTAATTATTCACAATTAACGTGATAAATTGACACCTGTAATATATGCTTTTTACCACGTTCATTGACCACGTGACCATTGAAGTGACCTATCAGAATGAGGTCCCCAGGGGGTGCGTTCTTCAGCACGCCCAAGGACTCCACAAAGGGTGGGTACTCTGAACTGCTGTTTCACGACTCAGACCAAGTGGGTCGGCCTGAAATAATGATGGAAACAGTGACGGACTGACGGATCCTCCATCAGTCTGATGGAATGCCCACCTCTCTCTCTCTCTCTCTCTCTCTCTCTCTCTCTCTCTCTATCTCTCTCTCTCTCCCTCTCTCTCTCTCTCTCTCTCTCTCTCTCTCTCTCTCT